AATCCAATCTTAAATAAGAGCAGCTGAAGTTTCAAAGTGTTAAATATCTAAATAAGGTCTGCCAATTTAAAGTGTTAAATATGTAATTATATATATAAAAAAAAAAAACTGAACCAACTTATTCACTGGTCCTTATTTCAAACCCAAAATCTTGGATAAATAAATCCAATTAATTGCAGTAGAAAAAGGAAAGCCCCATAGATTAAAGAAGATATCGTGAAGCAGGGAACCTGGAAGGAACAAAAACCCACAGAAAATCCTTTTACCTATATTAGTTAAAGCAAATATCAAAGGAGATATCCTAAATCACGTTTTCATCATTTAAAAAGCATGATTAGTGGCAAATCAATGGATTGAAGATACATGATTCTAATTCAGGAATCTAAAAAAAAATGTCACAGAATAATAAAAGTTAAGTCCATATAACTGAACCAAAAATCTAGTATTCAAGGGAACCGAAAAAAAAAATAAGATGAATGAGTCCTCTTACCCAGCCCAAATAAACTTGATCGAAAAAACTTTTAGGCTATAATCTGCAAGTCATTTATAAATTCAAATGTAATTGGAACTTCAGCTCATCCCAAACATACCATATCAAAGAAAGCATCCCATAATTGTTAGGAAACCAATTCTTATACATCCGCTAGCAAAATTCTAGATATATTCAGATTGTATCCATTTTTAAAAACTGTATCTAGAAAGGCTCCAGCAATCCAATACCATCAACCTCCAAATGCTTTCAGAAAATGTATAATCTCGGAAACAGTAACAAACGAGAACTTCCAAATCGCGAAAAGAAAATAAAGTATCAACCGAAGAAGAGAGGAAAGAAGAAGAAACTTACCACTTGTGATCAAAGAGAGAAAGAAGACCACGCATTTTTAGAGCTTGAATGAGAAAAGAAATGGGAGAGAAATGAGCTTCACAAAACAAAACCCCTCCAGATCTTCTCGAAGCAAAGAAAATACAAGAAAAGAAGAACGAACGAGCCGAACTGCCAGAGAAGAAGAAAGGAGGAATGAACAGGAGAGAAGACCAACGAATGAACGCTAGAGAGACCAACGAACGAACGCGAGAGGAGGGGGGGAAGGAGCAGAGCTTGCGCGTAACAACTGAACGAACCAACCTTCGATCAAGGGGCAACTGGGTAAAAAGGGAATCGCTGAATACGGGCCGCGGGGTCGATCCCGTGGCCGGCTTTTTTGCGAAAAACGTCCCCGCGGTGACCGTGAAGCTTCTCTGTCGCGTCCCCAAACAACAAATCTGGGCGGTGGGGTGCCTCGAAGCTCTCCAGCCGCGCCCCCAAC